AATTAAGGCAACACTTTCTTAATCTTATCTCCACTCTACTCGCTTTCAATAATGCTAGAGGAGTTTGTCTCATCTCTAATTCATTTCCATTAACGCTAGAGGTGATCACTTGTATGACAAAGCCAATCTAAACCTGTGTGACTTTAAAAAAATTAAGCTTTACAAAAGTAACATACACAACATGTAAATATATATCACATTGCATTCAAAATAAAAGAGTACAATATAAAAGTTCAATTGTTCATTATCATGACAAAGTTACAATCTATGTATTTCAAGAGATTTAACATGTCTAAGATACACATCTCTTGGTATGGGTTTTGTGAGAGGATCTCGCTATCATTTGATGCATATATATATATATATATATATATATATATATATATATATATATATATATATATATATGTACTAATACTTCTCTTTTTCCTATGATATCTCTAATGTAGTTATACTTAGTGTCAATATATTTAGTTCTACTATGGTATTTTGGATCCTTGGTATAAGCAATAGCATGTCTGGTTTTCGTAATAGATAGTAATAGGCCCCGAGCTTTTACTATTAACTTTTAAATCCTCAAGGAATCTCCTCAATCAAACTACTTCTTGCACAACAATCGAACATGCTATAAATTCAACCTCCATAGTAAATAAAGCTATGCGAGTCCGTTTCTTGCTTCTCCAAGAGATAACATCGTTGTTGAGTAGAAAAGCATAGCTAGAAGTGGATTTACATTCATCAAGGTCTCCTCCCCAATCAGCATCCGAGTACCCATTCAAATGTAAATTTTTCTCTTGATAACACGAGACAATAATCCATAGAGCCCTTGAGATATCTCAAGATCCTTTTAACGACCTTCCAATGTTCTCCATCGAGATTCGACGGAAATTGACTAACCAAACTAAGGAAAAACATATATCCGGAGGAGTACACATCATTGCATACATAAGGCTTCTAATTGCACTTGAATATGTTACTTTAGACATCTCATTTTTATCTTGTGGAGTTTTAGGACACATTTTACTACTTAAAGACTCGTTTTTTGACACGGAGGCGTCCACGGACTTATAATTACTCACATGGAAGAGTTCTAGAATTTTTTGGATATAATGTTCTTGTGACGGAGCTAGAAAATTTTTCGAACAATCTCTAATGATCTTGACTCCCAAAATGTAGTTTGCTTCATCTATGTCCTTCATGTCAAAATTTATGGATAACCATGCTTCGATAGATATGGTAAACTCTTTATCATTCCCGGCTATCAAAGCATCATCAACATATAAAGATAGAATTATAAACTTCTCTTTGGTTCTTTTAATATAAACACAATGGTCTTCCTCAATCATCTTAAAATCATAAGTCATTATTGCCTTATGAAAATAAAGGTACCATTTTCCGAATGCTTGTTTTAGATCATAGATAGATTTTTAGAGCTTGCAAACTTTGTGTTCTTGGCCTTCAATAATGAAACCTATAGGTTATTCCATATAGATTTCCTCCTCTAACTCTTCATTAAGGAAAACCATTTTTACATCCATTTGATGCAATTTTAAATCTAAATGTGCAACAATGGCTAAAATTAATCTTATCGAGGCAAACCTACTAATAGGGGAAAATGTAATTTATACCCTCTTTTGGGTAAAACCTTTAACCATAAGACGAGCTTTATATCTTTCAATTGATCCGTCTACCTTTCATTTTATTTAGAGAATCCATTTATTCCCAATGGCTTTACGACCTAACGGAAGATCAACCAAACTCCACACCTAGTTTAGTTTCATGGATTCCATTTCCTTTTCTATTGCAACTTTTCATTTCTCTTTAGTAGGACATGTTAGTGCCTCTTGCACTATTCTAGGTTCTTCATCATCTTGTGGGGTTATAATGTAAGCTTCATTCTTAATTTCAAATCGTTTTTGAGGAATTCTCGATCGATTGCTCCTACGTGAATAATGATCATTATTAACACCAATCGAAATTGGATCGTCCTCATTCCTCCCTTTCAATTGAGATAGTGGTGTTGTGCTTTCAAAAATCCCACTAAGAAGAAGAGAGTTTTACACATCTAGTTGAATGTCAACTTCTAATCGACTTTTAGGCATATCATCATCTTCTTCTATCTCAAAAAAATGAAGATCATTTTTATCTATCTCATTCTTTTTTGGAAAAAGATCTTCTAGAAAAATGACATCTCGAGTTTCTATTTTAGCGGTTCGTCCATCGGAGTCCTCACCAATGAAAACATATCCCTTTGACTATTCAGAATATCTTATAAATATATATTTCTTTCCTTTGGGCCCTAATTTATGGTACTTATAAGAATTATTATAAATATATGTAGCAAATTCCCATAGGTGCAAATGATGCAAATTAGGTTTATGACCCGTCCATAACTCATAGGGTGTGGAGGCTACCGATTTTGATGGCACACGATTAAGTACATAGACCGTAGTCATTAGTGCATCTCCCCAAAATTGAATTGGGAGATTTACATATGCTAGCATAGATCTAACCATGTCTAATAATATGTGATTCCTATGCTCTGCTACACCATTTTGTTGTGGTGTTCTAGGAATCGTAAGTTGCCTAGTTATTCCTTTCTCATTATAAAGATCCTTAAATTAATTTGATAGATACTCACAACCTCTATCGATCCTTAAAGTTTTAATTCTTTTGTCTAATTGATTCTCGACCTTGTTGATGTATTTAACAAAGCAATCTATTGCTTCTAATTTGTGGGAGATCAAAAAGACATGATCAAATCGAGTGAAGTCATCTATAAATTAACGAAATAGGATACATCATGTACGGCTTTAACATTCATAGGACCACAAATGTTCGAATGTATTAATTGTAAAGGAAATGCTACCCTCTTAGCTTTACCAAATGGTTTTCTATTTGTTTTTACTCGTAGAACATATTCATAAGTGGGCAAGTCAATTCTCGTGATAGATCCTAGAAAACCATATCGAGCCAATCTTTTCATTCTATCTTACCCTATATGCCCTAATCTAGCACGCCATAGATTAATATCTATGTTATCATTGCTCGAGCGAGTTAGCATAGAAAATCATACATTATTATTCATACTATAATATTTAGTGTTCAATATTATAAAATCATCCATGATATAACCGGATCCTAAATAAACGGAACTAGTAAATATGTCTAAAATATTACCATAAAAGTGCAAATCATATCCTAATCTTAATAGAACAACTACATAGATCAAATTTCATCAAATCTCTAAAGCGTAAAGGACATCATGTAGATACATGGTCTTTCCTTCTTGAAAATTTAACTTGCATGTACCAAGTCTAAGCACTTCAAACCTTGTGTTATTACCCACATATATCCATCGTGTCCCACTTGGAATTCGATAAATTCCACAAATGCATCTCTGTCTCTAGCTATATGATGGGTGGCTTCGAATCTACAGATCCATAAAGGATGGGATTTAGCAAGCATTATAGTATTAGAAACATAAGCATCAATAGAATAGGTGTTTAAAGACAATACCTCTTTCGACCTATTACACCGACGAGCAAAGTGACCCAACTTGCCACAATTGTAGTAGGTTAGTTTGGTCTTATCTTTCTTTTCATTGCGTTTTACTCTCTTATGATTAAACAAACTTAATTCTTTTTTTTTTAGTCCTTATCTAGTCTCTTTCTCTTTCTTATTTCCACACCACTTATGCTTAAAACCCGAAGTTTTCTTAAAGCTAGATTGAGCCACATATCCTAGTGCATTTGGCTTCACTCGCCTTAAGTCGCTCATCTTCTAACTCAATATGACGAGCGAGCATCAGCAAATATCCCGATATTCTCATTGTAAGTCATGTTCACTTTCATATGTTCTCGAGCTATCGGGAAGAGATCAAATAACAACCTTTACTTGCTGTTCATATGCCAAGATATACCCAACTTGCTTCGGCTTTGCAATCATGTTCGACATGTCCCTCAAGTATTGCTTCATAGATTTGTTTGGAACCTTTTTATAAGTGTCGAATTTGATTGTCAACTCGCCTCGGCTTGGAGACAAGTGGTCCCTCTAAACTCTTTCCTTAGTGCTTGCCGGATGGCATAAGCGAGTTGGATAATTTTGGTACTTGAAAACTATATCATCTTTCATAGAGCCGATCAAGATTCCCTTTGTAATGGAATCTACCTTCTTCCAGAGCTTAATATGCTTGCGATATCTCGACGATACTAGGCAAGGTTGTTCCCATCATCAAAATCGAGGCTCAATCATCTCATGATTAATAGCCTCTAAAGCCTATTGCTCTTCAGGACATATTGTATCTTAACATGTCATATGTTACAGTTGTCCTCATTAAGCTTTTTCGCTCTTATTCAAGTCAGCAATGACATTCTTTGTTGCTATTCTCACAACCAATTACTATAAAGAGACATTACATGCAATATCAATATTTATGTATGTTTCACTAATTTTTAAATTAATTATTAAAATCTAACATAAGATGTAAAATCGATAGTTCACTATATTCCCTATCATCATCCATACTCAAATGTTTGATTTTAATAACTTAATTTAAAAAAGTTACATCATTTGAATTTATCTCATAATTTTCACTAAACATTTATGAAGCAAAAACAAATATGAGAAAAATATAGTGCTTCATAAATAGCATATGTTCATATATATATAAATTCCAAATGAAAATAAAAGTATATAAACATATAACTCAAACTACTATACATAACTTAATCATAAGATTAAACATAAAAATAATCAAATAATCAATCATCAATAGTCCCGACAAAATACTTAAGAATAATATTAATTTATCAATAAATTTGAACCAACATGACGCATCCGTTGAGTTGGTTTGAGGTGACGAGATGAAGCATTTAAACCCATAAAGTGCGAGTTCTCGAATCTCACTCTCAACAATCTGTTTTTCAAAAAAAAAAAAAAAATTTACTTATCTGTTTTGAAATGGTGGTATATTTTCTTCCCATCGAATATCTCAACGGGTTAACATGGCAGAGTGGTCTAAGGCATCGGTTTAGACATTTACATCCAAACGGATGTGGGTTCAAGTCCCACTTTTGGCACTTTTAATTAGGCCAAAAATATTTAATGGTTCTTTGTCTTGTGTAGTTATGTTGTATATCATTATCATTCTTTGTGTTGTGTATCTTGCTTGAAATGCAATTTTTTTTTTTTGGTTATATGGATTTAGGTGAATATCATGTAAATAACAACAAAATATCATTATGTAGACAACAATAAATATCAAAACATTGATATATTAATAACAAATATCGAATACTCGAATAATTCAATAATATTTAAGAATTATTAAGTAACAACAAATATCGAACACTAACATATCTATGGATAATCATGGACTATTAAAACGAGCTCGATACCAATGAAGATTATGATGAATACTTCAATAATAAAAATAATTACGATCAAAACACTTACCCGTAAATAGTTTCACTAGATCAAGACGAGTAATATTCAATCACTATCTTTATTTTCACAATCCAAATGCCAAGACAATCCTTCTTGCTTTAGTATTCGCTCCGTAGAAAGTCTTTTTATTACGTCCGTTTTCTCTCCTTTTTATTTCCTTATCTTTCTCTCTTACCCCTCTCTTTAAGAGATGCATATATATATATATGTATATATAGGAGTTGAAGGGAAACGACGTTTCCCTATAACTCGTTTTTGATAGTTTTTAATATTATATATATATACATACGTTTTTCCTTATCGGGTCGACTCGTCATGGGCGACTCGACCCAAATTCTTTTATTTTTCTAACAATGATAGAAGTTAGATGTTCAAACATCAAATATGTTAAACAACCATTTACATCATATCTAATATCATAATCAAAGCCACCTTGACCCATTTCCTCCATCAAAGCTTGAATATCCAAACGGCTAGCCAAAATCTCTTTGTTGATTTTAGCTTTTGCATTATTCTATATATTATATTGCATGAAGATTTAGATTCCGCAACCGTAGTGAAGTTAATATTTTTCCTAGAAGTACACCGAGCATGGTCATTTCCTTAAGCTTCATTTGTTTGGTGGAAAACAATTTTCAATAGAAAAATCAATTTTGGAGAAACTATTTTTAAGGAAGTTATTTTTCAAAAAAATATTTTTTAATGTTTGGCAATTACATGAAAAAACTACTGAAAATATATATTCCAGACATTTATTTCATACAACAAATTGAAATACAAAGACAGTCTGTGATTGTTACATTAACGACTTTTAGGAAACTTCAACAAGATATATTCACAATTTCATAACGTAAGATGTATTTAGAAAAATTTAATAAATTTTTATAAATACCGACTCTAAGATTTAAATTCAAAAAATAAAAATAAATAAAATGTATATTTTTAACCATTAAACCGATTTATCAAAACTACTTGGGACAAATCAAGTCAATATTCATATTTAGTAAAAAAAAAAAAAAAATTAATTAGCATTGTTATTTTGGTAACTCAATTAAGATTTTTTTTTTGGAAATTGAATTGATAATTTAGTTTAAAAAATAGTTTTACAAATTATTAGTTATTATTTATATGTAATTATTCATTTAGTTTCAAAAGATTAATATTGAAATAATTTGTAACTAATTATTGACTACAATTACCAACAAAATTCTACAACCGATTAAAATCAGTCACAAATTATTGATTTAGTTACAAATGAATAGTGTTAGAAAAATAATTTATTTATTTATTAATTAAATAGTTTCAATTTTTTTTATAAATGATTGCATTTTTGTAATAATCATTTCCAATCAGTTAAGTATATTTTAGGTGGTGGTTTGGATAATGATAAAAAAATAAAGATAAATTATTAAAATATTTATTATAAAAATAATTGAAGGTGAAAAAATGATTTTTAAGAATATTTAATGTATTTATAAATCAAAAAATAAATGTTAGTAGAAATAGAGAAAAAATAATTAAATAATTAATAATAATAATTGATAAGAAATAATTAAAGATTAATTAATATATTTTAAATAAAAAAAAGATAGAGAAAAAAATAATTAAAATATATTGAGAGAGAAGTGAGTCATACGAGAGCAAAATAGTTCGTGAGATAGAGAAAAAATATTATTCTCCATTTTAACTCAAAATACTTTTCAAAAAATACTCTATCATTTTTTATTGACTAAAATTATTTTTTGTTGATTTTTTTTCTAAACTCGAAACAAATATAAAAAAATGAGAAAAAAATAAAAAAAAACAAGTTTTTAGAACTTATTTTCTCTTCAACAAACAAAGCCTTAATTTACTCGACTTCTTCTTTTAAAAACGATGAGTATAACGATGTCCACATGTCTTTTAATGCATGGTGATTGTGTGATATCTCTTTTAGATCAATTCCAATAGCCGCCCCCCCCCCCCCCCAAAAAAAAAAAAAAATCATAAACTGATAATTTATTAGACTACCTCTATAAACCCTTTTTCTATCACATCCAATGATGACATACTTTTATTTTTTCTATCTTCTTATTGTCGTCCCATATGTTTGTGAAAATGCTATTTTGCTAACACTATCAAGGAGTTCTTCACGATTTCATAATCGAAAAATTTCTACATCAACTTAAAGCTTAACATGCTTAGTTAATCCCTTATCTTAATTTTTTTTTTCTCATAAGCAAAATAATACTTAGCAAGGCTTATCTTAATCCTTGAGTTGTACTCAATTTTTCATCTATTTAATACATATTTTTATTTTATTTTTTGTTTAAATTTTTATATACTCAAAATCTATTTTCTTTTCATTTGTATTTCATTTTATGGTTTTTAGAGTTCATTTGGTATTGATATGGATTTATTTTTTAAAAAAATCTCATAAACATTGTATTTTTAGTGTTTGTTTCAATTTTTCATCTCTTTAGCACATATTTTTATTTTAGTTTGGGTGTAAATTTTTATATGTTAAAAATATATCTTCTTTTTATCTATATTTAACTTTATTATTTTAAGAGGACATTTTGGTATTTTATCTGGATTGATTTAAGTTGTTTTAAAAAAAATTATTTTTCAAGACTTGTTTCAATTTTTCATCTCTTTAGCCTAGATTTCTAATTTATTTTTTATATAAATTTTTATATATTCAAAATCTACGTCCTTTTGATTTAAATTTACTTTTATGATTTTAAGAGATCATTCGGGATTTTATGTGGATTTATTTAAATTATTCTCGTAAATATTGAATTTTTATACGCTGTTTAAATTTTTATCCATTTTATGTGGACATATTTAGTACCTTTTCTTTAGATAATTATAACTTAATTCCTGAAAAAAAGAAGAAGAAGAAACATTCCTTCTTCCCCCAATAGATTTTTTTCTTAATAAGTTTAACTCTTCAAAGATACAAAAAAGTTGGCTCTTATATAAATATATATATATATATATATATATATATATATATATATATATATATATATATATATATAAAAGGAACAAGAAGGGCCCAAGAAGAAATTAGAAACTTACAAGCAAAAATGGCCACTAGCTGGCTTTGTTTTCCCGTACGGTGTGTGCATGGCATGAAAGGGAGTGAAATCCAGTAATCCGCAGACATTTAATACCAGCTGGGATCAAAGGGAGAAAAAAAAGTTGGAGGGGGTCCCGGGCCCCTGTAGCTCAAACCGTGCGTCCGCCCCTGGGCACCATCCCTTACTAAGCTTTCAGTCCTAATAGTTACTTCCTGCCTTAATTATCTCTCAGGAAAGCCTACTTTACATAGAAGATAAAAGAGTTTTTTCTCTCCTCGTTTGCAACACAATCAAAAGTGTTACACTAATAGGTTGATGCTTTCGCGCGCTTAAGCAAATGGTGCCTTCTGGTCTCGTCTTCTTTTGGTAGCAAAGGAGAACCCGACGCAACGAGAGAGTAGTTGTCGGCAAATCAAGTCAAGATCTTTCCTTCTCTCGGAGCGCTTCCTTAAGCATCTGCATCTGGTGCCTCGGAATATCCGGTAGAGAGAAAGGATCTGAATCAATATCGAATGCAACCTCTCTTACCGTAGAACTATTTCCGTTTTTCAATCGAGGTATATGGTCTATAAATATAATTATTAGTCTAGAAATAATCATAGCAAAATAAGTAAATTGTAAATATAAGACTCTTTAGTTTTTAAAATAAATTAAAACAGTCTTTTAGTTTAAAAAATTAATTAATAAGTCTTTAAGTTTTTAAATATATTTTGTAAATTAATTCTTTCTCTCTCTTTTTTCGGTTTATTTTATTTTTGTTCTAAGAAATTAAATAAAAAGTAAAAAAATATGAAAAAATTGATGAGAAAAAATTAATTATAATCAATACTAATCAAATCACTAATTAATTAATTTTAAAATAAGAAATATTATTTAAATTGTTTTTGTAAAACTGGGGGAAGTAATTTATATTTTACTGACATAAGGTGGATTCTTTCCTTTGTGGTCAGTTGAAGACTGAGAGCAGTGAGAACGAAAAATGGGCTTGTTCCTTAGGAATTTAAAGCCCATTTGCTTGGAATTGATTTGGGCCATGGCTATGACACCCGGTAATGGTGGTTTCTTTACCTTGATAGAAAAGTAGGGAGCGGCAGCAGTAGTAGGTAATTAAAATTGAAGCGTCCGTTGGCTGTACACTAGTCAAGACCGGAGGTAATGCTCCTCTCCTCGGGTTCTACGCTGCTACAATCGCATTCTGCTTTTCTCAACTCTTACCCAACACTTTTTCTTTCCTTTTCCTGCTGAAAGCTTGCATGTTCTCCAACTTTTTTGTCTTGCAAAGTTGTGGCTGGTGATTATTGTTCATCTTTTCTTTTTTTATAATTTTTCTTGTAAAAATGGGATTTTGTTTATGTGGGTTTCTCTTAATTTTTTATTGCTTCACTTGGTTGCATCTTTCTTCAATCTTGAACATAGATGCAATTATTGTTTGCTTTTTCTTCGTTATGGTAATTTTTCGTGCTTACATTATGAAATTTCACATCTTTGCCCGTGGCTCCCTTTTCTCATAATTTTCCCTTCTTTTTCGTGTAGATTTAAGTTTTCTTCTCAGCTTTTGTCACTCCTTCTCTTGATTTACTGATAATTTCTTTTAACTTAGTATTCTGAACAAATATTCAATCTTGTGAATGCTTGTTGGGCAAGTTAGTTTTATTAATGACTGATTAATGGCTTAATTTTCGCACTTCTATTTGACTGGACTGCATGTACTCAATTATTCGACTGTCATTGGCTGCTTAGATTAAGTTTAGATGATTAATAGTGTTATATGCTTGTGACTGCTGCCATTTCCTTGTGAATACTGTGTTCCTTGGGCATTAATCAAATGCATAATGCCTTAACCACGTGGTTCCATTTCTTTTTCCTTTTTTTTTTAATACGATTTATGAGTTTTGTATGTGGCAAACATTATTTGTCATTCGCTGTTGTTATAGCGCTTACTGTAGTTATGAATTAATGATAACTGTAATAAATAGTTTGTGTTTTTGATTAAGAAGAAAGTGGGTAGTTGTTGAATGTTTGGAGCCATTAATTGCACCTTTATGCCTTATTATAGGAGGAGTGGATGTGGCAATGGTGAGCATTCGAAGACGCAAACTTATAGGACGTCCTACTGGTATACTGAACCTGTAAACTCTACTTTCTGCCAAATGAGAAATGGCTCTTTTAAGATGAATAAAAAATGGTGGTTTTTTGTTGAGGAAGTAGATGTCTATTGGTTGTCAATTTTTCATGTATTAGATTTTGCTTATTTGTTTATATTGCTTGCTTGATGAAGATAGCAAGTAATTTATTTGATATGATAGAATTGTTGCTCCCACCATATTATTGTCATCATAATTTCTAAATTTCTATCACTAAGTAAATACTTGATTAAATATAATGGGGTTTGTAGGAAGAAGTTCATCTTCAGCTCCACTTCCTAGTATTCCTGATGGCCGAGTTCCTAAATATCCTGAGCACGGTGGCAAACCTGTCAATGCGCGTCATATACCCTCAGTTGCTCTCAACCAACCTGTTGAAGTAAGTTTGATGTTTTAGAGTTCCCTTGTCACGACTATACTATTTTGTAATATTTACTTCTTCTGCACTGTCTATGAGAGCTCAATGAGATTATCAGTTGGGATGCATTACTTTTAAAGATTTAACCTCAAAAACATCCCTTGCCTGTGCTGTCTTAGAAAATGAATGCCTTCACATATAATCGGTAAACCCCAATAATATTAAATCCATCTGCTGTGTTACTACTTTGTGGATTGTATAACTCCAGGGGAAAATAGAAAGAAATGGAATCCTTAAAATTTAAAATAATCTGTAGGAAACTGAAATCAGTTAGCAGTGAATATGCACGTGAAAGTGATGCCCTGATATAACCTTTCTCGAAGCAAGAATAATGTAAAGCACAAGATAATCACCGCTGGTGTACCTTTTCATCTCCAAAGCTACCCATTTTAAGTTATGATTTATTGTGAAAGCACTGGAAAAGGCAATCATCTTAGTCAGGCATGCTTTCATAGAGGATGCATTAAACTGTTATTCAATTTTTTTAAAAACTGAAAATTGGGTAGTCATATAGAATTCTCTGTGCTAATAAATTGGTGCCAGGGAACATTGTATTTGGCGAAACTGTTGCATAGCATTACTATTTTCTGAACCTGATTTTGATGATTCTACTATGATAGTTAACTACTAACAGTTGCTATGATCATTCAAAATAAAGCACTATGTTTTGGAGGTAAAGTGAATAGGTAGGTAAATGTGGCCATCTAATTTTCTAGATAATGCTTGAAAGAGCTACCTTTTCATTGAACCAGTCATGTGTCCTGCGTTCGTGAGGTGTCCTGTTGGTTTTGTTCGTTTTATGTACTTAGGATCTTGCATACCTGCATGTTGTGCAGATTGATTTATATTTATATTGCTTTCATTATGTCTATTTAGGAATGACATCTGGTCATATATATGTGGAAATTGTGCATCCCATTTAATACCACTATCTGAATCTCATTATTTCTAAACAAGACTAGGAAAAGTTATATCAAAGCCTAAAATCTAGAAACACAAAAGTTCACAAAAGAACTCACAGTCCTGCTTCAGTGTTACTATTGTACATAGAAGATAGATAGATGAGCTAAATATGAAGTTGCGCTTGTGTCAGCAGTTTTAATTTTGGCATTGTGATGTAGGTGAAAGAAGGAAAGGCCACTATTACAAACCCACCAGCAAAGAAACCAAAATTACATGTCCAAATTGATCCGGAGAACCCCATGGAAGTGCATGCATACCTAATGCAGCTGAAGGAAGATAACAAATTGGAACCTGGACCAATGCAAAGAAGTGAAAAAATGCCAGTAAAGGAGTTGATGGAGAAGTGTTATCCCCATATTTTTAGAGTCTTCCCTCAAGATCCAAAGGTAATTTTTGAATTTCCTAACAAATCAGAGCAAAATGAATTCTTATATTGCCAGTATTGGCTTTTTCTCTTTGAGGTGAGGGACATAGTTTCCATAGACAAAAGTGTCCCACCCGAACATGTGGAGTCATTAGTAAAGGTGATAAAAAATTTGGAGAAGCAAGGTTTTGACTGTAGATTCTTAAGGTCAGAATTGGTAGTGGTAGGGTACAAGATGAAAAAGCAGCTAGAAATTACATTGGCAGAGAAGAGTGTGATCTCAACAAGAGCAATAAATCTGGAGAGAGAATTGCAAGCTGCAGCAAGAAGGAAGGACAAGGAAGCAGAATTGGATATGAAAGGGAATCAGCTAGAAGGAATGACCCCAGAAATTGAAACACAGTCGAAGCGGCAACAGGACCAATATAATAGGCTGGGAGAGATGAATAAGCTTCCTTGTGCAGCTTTAGAGCAAGAGTTTGTTCAAGTAATTCTAGAACACCACAAGAAGTTGCTAGAATGCAAGGAAGAAGAAGAGAGAAGACTAGGTCGAATTCTGGAGAAAATTAACCAACTTCTCTAAAGTAAAGCTTTTCCTTAGTAGTGAATCCTTCTAATGGTGTAGCATTTTGTATGTGCCCTTTTCTGTAGGGTAATAGCTGCCCATTTGTAGAGTTGCCTGGTTTCTCCTGAAAATGGCTCATGTGTATCAGATATGTGCATCTTAAATCTTTAATTCTGCCAACCAATGAGAAAAACGGAATCGTTTAGTTGAGAACCGGCAAAGAGAATTCATAACAGGCAATAGTTTCTGGTAATACTTGAACCCACCTTTGCTTCATGTTTACAAAAAAAACATCAGTGTCCAAGTTGATCTCGTTCTAGATTTGATAAATCATAAATATGTGTGTCATTGTTAGGGCAGTTGAGTGTGATTTGTATGCAAGGATGGCTTTTGTTTTATATCTTCTGCCGTTGTATGGGATAAAAGAGTGAGATAGCGAGAGGAAACCTGTAGTGCATTAATCTAAAGCTAATTTCTACTTTCAAATGATACCCATCTTAGATTAATCCAGCCAGTTGAAGAGTTATTTGTCCATTTATAAATAAAATAAAATTCTTCGTTCAAGTTGACTCTTGGAGGCGCACTCTCTTGTTGGGATGTCTATTGCTTCCTGCAGACGATTGTAGAAGGCATCTTTTTGAAGAGGGGAATAACAGAACAGATGAAATGGTTAGGAATTAGGATGTCAATCTCTGTACCTTTGCTCGCCGACCAATTTGATGCAATGGGTGGTTTTGATACTTAGGTCGCCTTCTGTGTATTTTAAAACTATTGCTGTGCTTGCAGATTAAGAATCGATAAGATCTTTAAGTGAGTGAGAAGGCCAAAATTATGTTTTTTTATACGGATTAAATACATCTTAGTGTCTTTGTTCTATATTGAAAATATGGTTATAGTTTCTCTATCAAGATATAGTTCATAACAAACTTTATATTATTAGATGTTGGTGCAAAAAAGCTCATTAACTAACATTTGATCTATCAAGTGATAACGTGTTAAATAAAAAGTAAAAATGTAATTTTTTTTTAAATTCATTTTAAATATTTTTAAAGTTAAAATAATTAATAATTATTATAAAATTACTAAAAATTAAAAAATCTAAACAAAATTTTTAAAATAATAAAAAAATTCACTTTTTAATGATTTCATAATAATAATTATTATAGAAAATTCTAAAAAGTATGTAAAGAATTTTTTTCAAATTTTAATTATTTTATAATGATTATTATTAAAATAAGTTCAATTTTTAATATTCAAAATAACTATTGATAAAGAAAATTTTTTAAAAAATCTAATGAACTTTTTAATGATTATTAATTATTTTAATACAAAATTTTGATTATTCATTTTAAAAAAAATTTTATTTGGTGTTGGTGCAAAAAACCTCGTTAACTAACATTTCATCAATCAAATGATGACTTTGTTAAATTACAAGTAAAAATATAACTTTTTAAAATTGATTTTTAATATTTTTTAAAGTTAAAATAATTAATAATTATTATAAAATTATTAAAAATTAAAAGATCATCAATTTTTAAAATAATAAAAAATTCACTTTTTAATGATTTCATAATAATTATTATTAAAGAAAATTTTAAAAAGCATATAAAGAATTTTTTTTCAATTTTTAATTATTTTATAATAATAATTATTAAAATAAGTTCATTTTTTAATATTTAAAATAACTATTGATAAAGAATTTTAAAAAAATCTAATGAATTTTTTAATGATTATTAATTAATATTAATAAAAATTTTTGATTATTAATTATTTTCATTTTTTTAAAAAAACTTTTCTTTAGATTTTTAAACTGATTTTTAAACGAATATTAATTATTTTAATAAAAAAGTTGACTATTAAATTTTTCTTTTCTTTTTTTTGAAATTTTTTATTTTTTTTAAATTTTTCTTTATTAGTAACTATTATAAAATCATTAAACAATAGATTTTTTAAAAAAACTTTCTTTACTAATAATCATTATAAAAATCATTAAAATTTGAAAAAAAAATAAATTCTTTAGATTTTTTTAAATTTTTATTTAATAGTAATTATTATAATTCATTAAGAAATAAAAAATGATTATTTTAAAATTTTTCTTTAGAATTTTTTTCAATTTTTTAATGATTTTATAATAATTATTTTAATTTTAAAAAATTAGAGACAAACTAAATTAATATATATACATACCCTTAAGTTGACACGTTTCACCTTAGTTAACTAATAAAAAATTAGTACATTTGGCTAAAAAAAAATTTAAAAATATATTGTTTTACGCTAATGTCCAATAATATAATGTTTGTTATGAATTATATTTACCTAGAAGGATTGCGACCATATTTCAATATAATACCGAAACATGAAATGTATTTAATCCATTTTGATAAAAGTACAAACTGAACTCCCCAGTCCTTGAGAACCAAATCTGTTTTTACAAGTTCATATGGACTCGAAGTAAATTATAAATCAAAAAATAGTCCTAATTAAATAGGTTTTTTAATTTTAAAAAACTAATTAATTAGTTTCGTTGTTCATTTCATTTTTTTTAATTTATTTTATTTTTCTTTTTATAAAAAAAATATGTGTAAATATAATAAAAATATTGATAAGAAAAAAATAATATTAAATTAAATAAAATCAACACCAATCAATTTATAATCAGGGAAATTCTACAATGCCATTGCCACTGCTTGGTTTTAATGCTGCTGCACTTAAAAAAACATTAAATCTGGCCTTTGCTTTTTAAATCACAGGTGAGACAACTGATTGTTCTTGTTGGCAAAACATTTTTAACAAGGTTCATGTACGGCACAGGTTTGAATACTTGTATTATAAGTATACAGTTCTTAACAGTTGTTTTCAAATAAATATATTTTAATTCTTTTTGTTTGAGTAGGTTGATTTCTTCAAAATTGTTAATTAAGTAATTTTTGTTACGAAATAATGAATATTCATACGATTTTCATATTTTTAATATTCATAATTCTTAATGTGATTCAATTCATCATTCACTATGAGAAATTAAAAAAATGATGCAATTGATTTGATAATTTATGTACTTTTAATTATTCATAGTCTTTTTAAATTCTCTTCTCAATTTTGAAGCTTATAAATAAGCTTGTTTATTTATTAATTTGTATACATGTATTTTGTAGAGATTGAGAAAATTATTTAAAATTTTTTTTCTTGTATTCATTTTATTTTATAATGAATTCATTTTCCAATCATCTTTCTCTTCAATTGTACTATTGTTGCTATTTTTTTAATAACATGTTATCAAGACGATTGCTCTATCAAAAAATGCAAATCATCTAAACTATTAATAGGTATGTATCTAATTTATCTTTTACTTTAATTTTGAAATCTATAAATAGGCTTGATTATTCATTAGTTTGTGTACAAGTATTTTGTAGAAATTAAGAGAATTATTTGAAATTGTTATCTCTTGTATTCACTTTATTTTATAATGAATTCATTTTTCTATCATCTTTCTCTTCAATTCTCGCCATTATTGTTATTTCTTTTATAACATGATGTCAGCACGATTGATCTACCAAAAGACACAAATCATATGGATTATTAAGAGCTATATATCTAATTTCTAATATATATTCTAATGATCTAATGTGTATTGTTTGAGAAGTTTGAATTTTATTATTATGTTTGTTTTTATTTTCTAATATTATTATTATATCTTGTATTCTAGAATTTTTATCTTGTCAAACCTCACAAAGCTTGATTTTATGGCTCTTGACATTTCGAACAAGAATTAATTATCATGGGTGCTTGATAGTGAGATACATTTAAATGCTAATGGTCTTAGATAAACAATCATGGATGATAATCAAGAATCCTTGCAAAACCATGCTAAGGCAATGATCTTCCTTCGTTATCTTCTCCATGAGAATTTAAAAACCGAATATTTAACGAGTAAAAGATTCACTTGAACCGTGAAAAAATTTAGAGAAAAGATACAACCATCTAAAAACGATAATTCTTCCAAAAGCTCATTATGATTGGATGCACTTAAGATTATAAGTTTTCAAAACGAGTAAGTGAGTATAATTCTATCGTATTTAGAATCGGTTCCCAACTAAAATTATGTGAAGAAAATATTACTAATTCGGATATTTTAGAAAAAATATTCTCTACTTTTCATGCTCGAATATGCTCCTACAAGCAACAATGTCAAAAAAAGGTTTTTAAAAAATATTTATGGCTAAATAAAATAACGAGCTACTAATGAAAAATCATGAATTTCGTCCAACTAGGTCTATTTCATTTCCCGAAGTGAATGTGACATCCGATAATAATTTTAAATATGGACGAGTACGTGATCATGGCCATGGACATGGACGTAATTGTGGAAATATCTATAGTCATGATCGGAATAATTATCGTTATTGGTGGTCATAATAACATACCTCATCATCGAAGTGGATAAATTATGAAAAAAATAATAAAAGAATAAATGTAGATCAAGCCGTATTCCTAAAATGAATATTATAGATGTGATGTGAAAAGAGATTGGTCGCGTACTTGTTGTATGCCAAAACACCTCGTTGAGCTTTATAAGCCCCATTGAAAAAGTAATATAGAGGTAAAATTTATATATCAAAATAATGATTACAATAATGTTTCTCTTGAAGGTTTCATTAATTTGACACATTTAGATGTCGCTAATTTTTTTGAAGATCCCGAAAGAAAGATTAATGATAATCATTAAAATTAATATCTTGTTATCTTTTTTATTGATAAATAAAGAAGTTTTATATTTTCTTATACTTTCTTTTGCATAATGATAGTTTTTGTTTATTTGTTTTGTGTTTATGAAGAATATATAGATACTAACAAGTTCACAATTGATTTAAACATTATAGAGGAAAATCTATGCCTTATAGATAGTACAACAACACATACTATACTTAAAAATAAAAGGTATTTCTCCAATTTAATAATGGGCAAGGCTAATGTTAACACTATATTTGATAGTGTCAATTTAATCAAAGGTTATGTAAGAG